GCGGGCGGCGGCGGGGGGGCCAGCGACCGCAGCCGGGGGGACGCGGGAGGATGGAGCAAGTGGAGATCCTGAGGAAATTCATCCAGCGGGTCCAGGCCATGAAGAGTCCAGACCACAATGGAGAGGACAACTTCGCCCGGGACTTCATGGTGAGTCCTTCCCCTGGTTGTCCCCTCCTCTCGCCGGCACAGGAGCCCACCGCCGCCTCACCCAGCCGGCCCGGACCGCCAGCGCTTTGTGTACCGCAGTGAGGAGAGGGGCGGAGGGGGCGCTCACCAACCCCAAAGGCCGGGTGGTCTCGGAGGCCGGCGGGAGGTGAGACTGCCCCCGCCCCTTGGCCTCCTTTCCCCTCCTCCCGCGTTTGCGGCCCCCTCTGCGGCGCTCGGGGCGCAAAGGGAGCCGCCACTGGGCCGAGTCGGCAGTCAGCACAGCCGCCGGCGACCACCTATTGTTTCTCGGTCCGGGATCCAGAGGCGGCTGACGTTCAGGCCGGGGCTCGTGTCTTCTCACCTCCCCATCCAACCTGCCCCTCCTGAGAAGGTCTAGGCAGGGTGTCTGCCCAGGGAGGAGAGCGGATCGCTGCTGACGGAGGAACGGGGGTGTTGAGGTTGGCATTAACTCATGAGGCCTCTTTGCTCAAGCTGGCCTCAGAAGTGGGCAAGGTAGGACTTCTGCCGTTTCTGGGTTCGCAATTGTTATCTCAAACGCCTGGGAAATAATTGTCCCTAAGGAATCTTGTGGTTTGCTTCATTTCCATTTACCCGTGTCCTATCTCTTGTTTCCTGAGACCCAGCTTGGAGATAGTGTTGGGGGTCAAAGTGACTAGGTTGAGGGGGTAAGTGTGTGTGTGGAGGAGGGTTATCCTGAAGGAAACCTACTTCGGACTCCCTAGGGGATATTGCTGAAGGCGGAGGGGATGTGACTATCACTTCCTATCCGGGGTGGGGGTGGGGAACTTGGGAACAATAGTCCTGGTGGGGCGGAGGCGACGATGAGGGCCGAAGCCCTGAACTGGGAGATAACCTTCGCAGCCTTCCCCCCTCCCTTTCCGCCCTCTGCTTGTGCAGGCGGGCTGGAGAGGAGGTTAAAAGTCTAGTTCGTGAAATTGCTTTAGATACATCACTATGAGGGGGTCAGATCCGAAGGCGTGGGACCAGAAGTCGACTTCCTACATTATTCCCCCCCCCCTTTATTTTTCTGTTGGACAATGTTCCCTTTAGGGTTGTTTCCCGGCTTAAGAGGCGGTGGTTACGGCGGCTGCTCCTACGGATATTGCGCAAGACTGGGGCGTTGGAAACCCTGGAGGTCTGAGGAATGGAAAAGGAAGTGGGACTTTGGGAAGTGGTTGCTCCTTAGCCTTGGCGGGATTTGGGAATGGGAAATAAACTAGGAAAAATTTTGCTCCTGGGCAAGCTACACCTCCAAGAATAATCAACCCGAAATTCTCAATTGTAAAAATAACACACAGTAAATGTATACAAAAATGAATGAGCCGCAAACCTTGTCTAGTTTTTGTTTAAAAGTACAGCTTAATTGTTTACAAGGTGCAGGTGAAATGACTATTAGTACTGAAATACTTTTTCACATTTTAAAGAGACTTCGGTCTAGTAAAGCTTTAGTGTTAAAATTCACAGCTTATAAAATAGATCCACAGTTTTATCGTTGAGCTTTGCGATTCCTGCCTTTCTAGACCATAATAGAGGATAGGATTAAGATTTTGTTAATGTCTTTTGAAGACCGGAAAATATAGATTAAATAATCTATGCGTTATTTCAAGCATTTTCCTCGATATTTAGCCTTCGTATTTTTGAAAAATTATCTTTTGATCTGAGGATAAAAAAAGAGAACATTTTCCTTAATTACTGAGAATTTTGATTGTGTTGGTTTCTTTGAATAGTGTCACAATAATGCATGCAGTCTCCTTTTTACTACTGTAGCAAAAATAGAAATAAATTGCTTAGAATTTTTAAAAACGTTTAAAACCAGTTTTTTTGCAGTCTTATTTTGGTTATAGAAGGAAGGATAGGTGGTGTGGTCTGTGGTCACTTTTTTGCATGCCAGTCATCTTGTTATCCCTGGACATATCCTGTCAGGAAAGAGCATTGTTTGGTGATGCAGGACATCAGGACAGGTGCCCAGTCTCTGAACTCCTATACAGAGGAAGTAGCCTTGGGGGTTCATGCTTTAAGGATGAGTCAGGGATTCCTATTGGAGATTTCATTTCTCAAGGACTAAATGAATTTCCTTTTTTTCTTCCGTAATACCCAGGGATAGCTAGCTAGGTGATTCTGCATTTGAGATTTGATGACTAAGGCCATTCTTTTATAGTGCTTGCCTTTTTTAATTCTGTGACTTGATAAGCAGTAGCTATAATTAAGGCTGCTTAGTTGGTGCCGCTTTTTCCTGTGACTGGAGGGAAACTGCCTTCTGCCATAAAAGAGGATAGAAGATTATCTAACTATTCTGTTATTCTTAAATTCTGATGTGTAGTAAAAATGCATTTTTAAATGTTAGCATTTCGGAACTGAGCCTTAGAGATAATCTAGCTATCATAACCTTATTTGACTATAAAGTAATGTTCATTTCAAATTTAGAAATTATGGAATAATAACTAATGATGCCTTACCCTTAGGAAAGTCGGATGGGCATCGAAATTGTGCTCTTTCCATTATTCTATCCAGCCTTCTCATAGTCTCATCACCCAAACGTTGTCTTTGTTAATGTTTTTTGTTTTTTTATATCTATATAAAATTTTTATTTATGCAAATAGACTTGACCTATATAAACTAGTTTATATCTTGTTTTGGCCATGAATCTATAATCTAGATCAGTGCCTTTTAAAAATATATATTTATTAAAGTACAGTTGACATACAATATTATATTAGCCTATTAATGTTTTTAATGCTTCTCTGTGACCCTGTGACCATACTACATATACCATTTTTTATTCTTGGTATTTTTTTTTACCTTAACATTTTGATGAGTTTTTCGTTTGTAAAAATGGTTTTAAGTGATTCCAAAATATTTCACTTATCTTAACCGTTTCCTTGTGGTTGAATATTTAGACCATTTACTGCTATTAAATATCATAATTTTGTAATGAACATTTATGCATAAAACTTCTTTATTTTAGATTATTGCGTAAGTTATCTTCCAGTAGTGGAAGTACTAGGTAAAAGGATATAAACATTTAATACATGTTTATAAATAACTTTTTGAAGAAGTCGTGTCAGTAGTATAGAATGTTCATAAAATATCTTGATCTTTGATAATTTGATGGTTGGAAAATGCCATCTTGTTTTAGTTTGAATTTCTTGATGACTAGTAAGGGTAGAAATTTTTCCATCTGTCATTAACTATTCTATGAGTTGTCTATTCTTCGCTTTGGCCTGTTGTCCTCTCATCCTCTTAAAGAGGAGAAAACTAAGGTATTGTGATGGCGTATACTATGGGGCTGAAATGATTGCTTACAATATCAAAGGTTAAACAGCTAATTTGTGGCATTTCCAGAACTTGATATCAACTATTTAGACTTTTAGTCTTCTTTACAAGATAGCAGGAAACAATTATGACAAGTAAATGTATAAGGTAGGGTGGTGCACATTCATGTTTGACAGACCTGGGTTTTACTCCCTTCACTGCCATTGGCTAGCGCCCTGACCTTGGACGGGCCACTTAACAGAAAACGAGATAATTGAGTTCCCTCATCTTTAAAAGAAGAAAAATACCTACTCTACAGGACTGAACTGATATTTAGTCATCATCTAACAATTTATTGCACTGAGGTCTGTATATCCTCGTATCTATATGTATTTAGTTACAGATTACTATAGAGTTAGAAGGAAAGGTATCTGGGCTTCATTTTTAGTTATTTTCTTTTGCTTTTTAAAGCTTTATCATGTCTAAAGTGTTGAAACCAGTAAATTTATTCTAATCAGGCTAAAGGTTATCTAATGGGCTTAGACATTTGTATATAAAAAAATCATCAAAGATGACAGTTAAGCTACAAGCAGATATGGCAGTTTCAGCTCAATAACTAGTTCTCTCTCCACTTATGAAGGTGAAAAAAAATTAATAAGTATGCTCAGTGGAGTATTTAAAAAACAGAATGCAGCAGAGATGTGAATTATAGAACTTAATTTTGTGAAACATTGGAAGGAGAGGATTTATGGACATTTTTCTAAGGCTAAACGGATGTATAATACTAAACCATCCTATATTAAAATGCTGTTTAAAATAGCTGATATTTTAAATTAATCTGAACTTAATTTGTCAATCAGAGGTAACCACGAAACTACCATAGAAGTTATGGATTTGAAGGGCTTTAGTCTATAAAACCATTTGTTGTACAAATAGTAATCCTGACAGAACTACTCAAAACAACCAGTTTGCTTGCTTTGTTATGATTAAACAATTGTTATATTGTTTTTTATTTTACTACAGTAATGTTAGTAGTTTTATAAATTATTTTCAGTAGAAAGGAAATTAACATTTTTCATCTCTGTGCTAAACACTACCAGATGTTTTACACTCTCTTATTTAACATATCAACATTTTATAAGATAGATTTAACCTGTATTTCACAGATGAAGCAACACACTCTGAGAAGTTAAGTGTCTTGCCTGACTTCAGAACCTGTTCTTTTTATCATTTCTCTCCAGGATGCATCTGAGGGTCCTTAAGGACCTGGCTAAGACTAACTAGGCTAGTGGAGGAAGACGCATCACTGTACAAAAGGGATAGAGGTTTTAAAGTTGAATATGTTTAGGGAGAGGTAGATAATCTGCTGTAACTCATGCAGCAGTTCTCATACTTTTTGGTCTCAGCAGTCCTTTACACGCTTAAAAATTGTTGAGACTCCCAAAGAGCTTTTGTTTATTTACTGTATTAGAAATTAAAACATTTTAAAAAATAATTCACTTTAAAATAATGATAATAAACCCATTCCATATTAACCTGTATACTGTATTTTATGCCAAGTAATTATTCAAAACAAATAGAAGAAGCATTTTTATATTTTTGCAATTTTTTTAATGTTGGCTTAATAGAAAGGAGCTGGATTCTCATACCTGATACATTCATAATGTTGCAGCGTTACATTTCACACAGTATCAAGTGTCATGTACCCTTTAGAAAATTCCACTGTACCACTCCAAAGAGGATGAAAATGATAAAAAAAATTAATGTACTAAAGTCTATGCATTCTCATATTTACAGATGAGGAAATATAACTTTATATTGTTAGAAAAAGAGCTTTGACCTTATGGGCTCTCTGAAATGGTCTGGGAATGGGCTGTCTCTGAACCATACTTTGAGAACCAGTGAAGTAATTCATGGTAAAGGCTAAAGATGATGCTAAGAAAGGTAGGTAGGGGTTAGATTGTTTTTGCATCTATGTTATATTTTATTCTATAGATCAGTAATAGTAATTTTGAACAGTTCTACACTATAGCTCTTAGATTCACAGAGAAAGTGGGCAGGTGTTAAGAAAATAGACATGCTAGCTGCCAGCACTCCACTGCACTCCACCTCCTCTTCTTGCCCCAGTCTGCTTTACTATGAGTCTTCAGTTATTCAAATTCTGGTAGAAAAGCTGAGAATCATTACTATGAATCTCTGGAGAGCCACTTCCTGTTTTAAGAAAGGTAAGCAGTCATTTGACAGATTTGTGTTGTAGAAAGTTGATTCTGATGCCAGTATGAAAGATGGATTAGCAGGTGAGGAAGAGTATTTTGGAAGCTGTTGAAATTTAAGAAGTTAGATGAGGATCTGAACCAAACTAGACAGAGCTTATAAAGAATATGATAAGGATTAAGAAAGAAGCCTCAATGGGTAGTAAAGGAGAAAGGAGTATTGTAGTATGACTCCAAGGTTTCTAGCATGGTATGCTATCACTGAAGTTAGAAGGTACCATTTGGTAAATAAGGAATAAAGGAGTAACGAGTAGAGGATGTCAAGAAAAAAATGGAGGGGGAAAATTTCAATGTGGAAGAAAATGAGTTTATTTTAGACTTGTTGAAACTGAGGTACCTATGAGACATCTAGGAGAAACGTAGAGCCCAAGAGAGCAAAATAGAGTTAAAGATTTAGGAGTCATCGTATGAGCATGTAAGAGGTAATTGAAAGCATGGGAGTGAATAAGCGTATTCAGATGAGTATATAGAGTGTCCAGCTTTGGGTTGAAGAGCATCAGTATTTAAAGAGCAGCCCTAAAAGGAAGTACTGGTGATTGTTCCTGAGAAGGTGTGGTCAAAGAGAAGGGATGGGAACCCAAAGGATGTCAAAAAAGCCTGGGAGAGTTTCAGGAAAGGAGTAGTTACCTAAGTCATATAATTCTGGGAGGACCGGTAAGGTGAGGTTGAGAAAGTACCCATTCTGTTTGCCAGCTACGAGTGATTTGTTGACTAGAAAAAGCAGTTTTGGGTTGGGGTCTGGGAACAAGCCAGATTATAATGGGTCGAGTAGAAAATAGGCGAAATGGGTATA